CTCAACGACGCATGAACGGGACTGCGAGGAACCATCACAACAGGAGATCCAAAGGGAGAATTTGCCCAACCGCCGACAATCGCAGCACTGGCCGGACAACTCCGCCCCTCGGTGCGAACCACCACGCCGACGACATCTAGTGCCAATCGTGCCGGCATCGCGCAACAACCACTATTGCGGAAGACCAAACAGATCGCCTGATTCGGACAGGCTGGTCGTATGGCCAATCTGAAACTGATTGTCGACCGCTCAAGTAACGGTCATTGATACCACGGCGCGGCACGGTGGCGCGTTCCATTCCGACAGCCACGAAAACAGAACCCATGGCGACAAACATAAGCATTTGAATACATACTCCTTCGGTAGGAACTCGCATGAGCATCTCCTGAACTTGCATGAGAGTTATCATAACTGCTTTCCGCCCCATCCTTGCGATTCCAAAAACGAAGTGCGGGCTCCATGGGGAGAGGGGAGGGGGCTCCCGCTAGAGATTTCTGCGCACGTCACTCACAAACGAGGCTCCCGCTCAAGAGTTCCTCCATATTCAATCGTCAGGGGCTCAGAAAAGACAGAAATTAGAAGTTTCGAATGGCTCTCAGTGGTGAAACAACATGAGCTGCGGGACCCATAGGGAGGGGGCTCCCGCCTGAAACTTCCTCGCAATTCATTCGCAGGCTAGGTCCCCGCCTGAGACCTCCTGAGTATTCAAATCTCAAGAGCTCAGGAATGACGACTGTTGCAAATTTTTGAGCGACCCCTCTGCTATTCAAAGCTTAAACTTTGGGCCCCATATGGAGGTGCTTCCGCCAGAAACTTCCCAGCAAGTCACTGGCGGACGAGGCCCTCCGCCTAACCTTTCCTGAATATTCGAACCTCAAGAGCCCAAACGTAACGACAGTTGCATATTCCGAACAACCCGCGCAAACTTATCAAATGATCTGCGGGCAGGATAGGGAAGGGGTCCCGCCTGAAACTTCCTCGCCGCTCACTTACAAACAAGGCACCCGCTTGAGACTTTCTGAAGATTCAAACCTCAGGGGCTCAAGCGTGGCGGAAATTACATGTTTCGAATGGAGCGCTCAAACTAGTAACATAATCGGCGGGCCTGATCGGGAGGGGGGTCCCGCCTGAACCCTCCTCGCATGCAGCTCACAGGCAAGGCCCCGAGCCTGAGACTTCCTGAAGATTCACGTCCATGGGGCCCAAGAAGGATGAAAGCCATAAGTTTCGAACATGATAGGGAGGGGCTCCCGCCTGAGACCTCCTTGTGTTCAATCACAGACATGGCACCCGCCTGAGACTTCCTCGAAACTCAAGTCTGAGTATGATGATGTCAATGCCGATAATGATGGTGATGCGGGTGGCCATGACGATGCTGATGATGATCCCCGCGTCTAAAGGGAACGTGAGCTCCTTGCTCATACTGCCCTTCGGACCGAGGCGTTTCCCTCTGGCCCTGCGGAGGCAGCGCTCGGTCTCGTGCGCCACGGCGCACCCGCGCATATTCACCTGAATGCCGAAAGGCCGCCCCCCGCCCCGGCCGAAGCAAGCGGAAGACACGGCATCCGAGCAGACGCGGCGACTCAGCCCGCACCCCTGCGGGCTGGTGCGCAGCTCGCGGTGCCAGGCGATACATCAGATGAGCTCAGGCGGCGAAGCCTGGGGGGCCTCGAATGGGGCCCCCAAGAAGCTGCTGGCCGCTGCGAATGCGATCCGAGAGGCGGCCACCTCCCCCAGGAGCTCGTCCGCAGACAGGAAGCAGGAGGCCCTCGTTCTCGCCCAGTCCAAGCCGAAGTCGCGCTTGTACGGGCCCTTCGGGTCCTGCCGCCTGCCCTCGCAGAGGCCCTCCTCCTCGTCCAGGTCCAAGCCGACCTTGCGCTTGCGCATGCCCTTCAGGTTCTCAGCCTGTCCTCGCAGAGGCTCTCGTCCTCGTCCAGGTCCAAGCCGAACTTGCGCGTGCGCAGGGCCTTCAGGCCGTCCAGCGGCCTCGCAGTGGCTCGCGTCCGCGCCCAGGCCCAGGCCGAAGTCGCGCATGTCCCTTCGGGCCCTCCAGCCTGTCCTCGCAGAGGCCCTCGCCCTCGTCCAGGTCCAGGCCGAACTCGCACCTGTACACGCCCTTCAGGTCCGCCAGCCTGTCTTTGGAGAGACTCTCGTTCGTCCTCGTCCAGGTCCAGACCGACTTCGCGCTCGAGGCTGCCCTTCAGGTCCTCCATCCTCTCCACGCAGGGGTTCTCGTCCTCGTCCAGGTCCAGGCCGAAATTGCGCTTGTGCATGCCCTTCAGGTCCTCAGCCAGCCTGTCCTTGCAGAGGTTCTCGTCCTCGTCCAGGTCCAGACCGAACTTGCGCTTGTGCAAGCCCTTCGTGTCCTCCAGCCTGCCCTTGAACATGCCCTTGTCCTCGCCCACGTCCAGGCCGAACTCGCGCTTGTACGGGCCGTTCGGGTCCTCCAGCCTGCCCGCGCAGAGGCTCTCGTCCTCGGCCAAGTCCAGACCGACCTTGCGCATGAGCCTGCCCTCTAGGTCTTCCAGCCTGTCCTCGCAGAGGCTCTCGTTCTCGTCCCGGTCCAGACCGAACGTGCACGTGAGCAAGCCCCTCAGGCCATCCACCCTGTCCTCGCAGAGGCTCTCGTGCGCGCCCAAGTCCAAGGCGAAGTCGCGCATGCACGGGCCCTTCGTGTCCTCCAGCCTGCCCTCGCGGAGGCCCTCGTCCTCGTCCAGGTCCAAGCCAAACTTGCGCCTGTGCGCGCCCTTCAGGTCCCCCAGCCTGTCCTCGGAGAGGCTCTCGTCCTCGTCCAGGTCCAGGCCGAACTTGCGCTTGTGCAGGCCCTTCGTGTCGTCCAGCCTATCCTCGCAGAGGCCCTCGTCCTCGTCCAGGTCCCTGCCGACCTTGCGCTTGAGCCTGCGCTTCAGGTCCTCTAGCGTGTTCGCGCAGACGCCCTCGTCCTCGACACCGAGAACCTGGCAGTGCTCTTCGGGTGCCGCCTCGAAGTCGCCGAACGACACCGCGGCCGCCTCAGGGAGCGGGGGCAGCCAACTCAAGCGGGGGCCTGCGGCGGCCCGCGCTAGCCCGCGCTAGCCCGTTCGGACGCGCGCGCGAATCCGCCCGCAGGTGCCAGCAACGCGTGCCACGCGGCGGTCCGCCGCCGCCTCATTGCGCCCGGGGCGCGACCTTCCACGGCGGCGAGGCGCAAGGCAGGGCGCGCAGCAGCCTCACGGTCCTGCCAGGAACCTGGGCCGCCCCTGTCCGCCTTGCTGACTCCCGACTCGGCCGCGAGGAGGCGCCGTGTCCGCACCCGACGGCGGGCCGCCGAGGCGCTTACCTCGGCCTCTTCCTTCCTGCTCAGCGCACTGACACGCCTGATACACCTGATACGCCTGATGGGCCGCCCCGCCGTCGCTCCTGCGGGCACCCCCCGTAGCCATTGCTCATCTCCCAATCGCGCGCCGCTGACCGCAGAGCGTGGGCGCCTGCGAGAGCTCTGGAGAAGAGTGCACTTGAGCCAACATTGCTACGGATGGTGATGATGCTGATGCTGGCGATGATGATGCTGATGATGCTGCTGATGATGATGATGATGATGATGATGATGATGATGATGATGATGATGATCATGCTGATGATGATGATGATGATGATGATGATGATGATGATGACGATGACGATGCTGATGCTGATGATGATGATGGTGATGATGATGATGCTGATGATGATCATGACGATGATGATGATGATGATGATGCTGCTGCTGATGTTTATGCTGATGCTGATGATGGTGATGATGCGTAAATGAGTGAACGATGAATCTGTGAGTGCGTGAGTGAAGAGCAGAGGAGGGGAGGGGGTGAAGTGTCCTTTCCTTCGCGGTGGTGTCCAGAGAAAAACAAAAACCCCACCTTGGATGTGGGGAGCAAAAACAATCGCAACAACCAAACCGGTGGAACAACCCGCGAACACCTCTGCGCCAGGCTCCGCGCGGCACGCCCGTCTCGGCACCTTAGCGCCGTAGCACACTCAGTCTCTGGATAGCGCTTCTACTTCAAACTAGCACATCAGCAGCGAAGACTTCGGCTACACTTCCTTCATGGATCACAAACTGACCATCGCCCCAGCTTTCGCTCGTTCTCTCTCTGGAAGCGCGCGAACTCCCCTGGGCCAGATCGAATCTGGTCCTCTCAAACTCTGCGCGCTTTGGGACACGTAAAAATTACGATGATTCGGTGCTTCCATGGCCACGTCACCATGTAAGATATAATGGATCAGCGCTCCTCTTCGTAACACGATGGGTCCACACTCCAAGGGTCACGACCTACGTAACAATACACACGACCCCTCGTAAATACTCTGGATCCGCGGTCCCGAGCAAGCATCCCTCATGGACTAATAACCTTGGTTCCGCGCTCCCCCGGCCATGATTCCTACTCAATGCCAAGGGCTGGCGTTCCTCATGCAAGGACTTCTACAAAATGCGATCGATCCGCGCTCCCATGGGTATGACCTGCACAAATGCAAAACAATGGAATGGACACACCGTAACAACGAATTGGTCTGCGCTCCCACAGCCACGATCCCCAAGAACAAACATTCCAGATACACCATTCGACGGGACGTACAAACGACATGGGCATCAAAAGCGCAACTCGACGCCCATACCAGCGCACATGACGTCACGAATGAAACAATACATCTGTTAACATGAGAAATGACGGCATGATGGGGAAATATCTGATTTTTGTTCATATACACTAGAAGGGGATCGCATAACGAAATGCGGACGGACACGGTCGCCGAAGTGAAACATAAACATCTGGCTTGGCAACCCACGCCCATCCTCGCCTTCATTTGCCCGAAACTGCCCTTGTTTTTGCCCCACTCCGCTTTGCCTTGCCGTCCATGATTATTGACGTCCTCTTGCCTGCTGTGCTGGAACCGGCGTATAGACAACTTGAACGAAACAGCGGGTCTCCTCGTTGACGTCCGTGTAGCCTGCCGCCACCAAATGGTCAGTACCCCATGGGCACTCGCCACACCGCGAGATGACCAGCGAAAAGACGCTCCTCTGGCCGCGTCGGCGAAGCAGGGCTCCCGGACCGAGACAGAAAATATCGATGGGGGGCAGCAAGAGGAGGCGAGAGGTACCAATTGGATCGACAAAGTGGGGGCTGGGGGGAGAGGAAAGAGGGGGCGAAACGAAACAGCGAGCGCGGAGGGGAAGAATGAGGCTGAACATGATGATCCGGTCGGATCGAACTCCTGGAGTTCAAGCGTCGCTTCGACGCCACCGCAGTTGCCGCGATGAAGTGGTGGGAGGGGAATGAGGAGCAGGAGAGCAAGGGTGGGGAGACGACAAACAAGTTTTTTTACGTTTTTTTTTTTTTTTTTTTTTTTTTTTTGTTGCCATCGACGCAGCGAGTGCTGTACACAGTTTCGACTCCACCCCTAGGCGCCGTCGGAACACCAAGCTGAACGCTCGAAAACGGCCGCCCAGAATTGGACGGAGAAGGCGAGAAAAACAAGTGAGACGACAGCACGCCAACCAAACCGGGAACGCAACGTGCGCCGACCTCTGATAGGCAAACGCACGCAATGGACCTTGGCCTGTGGGACAAGGCAACAACATGAAAATACAGAGAACCGGCCCGCTGGAGTAAGAAGACGAGGGAGAGGGGAAGCAGAGGGGGAAAAGGAGGGAGAGGGTGAGAAGGGACCAACAGTCAGCGGCGGTTAATGGGGCTCCACCATCTTTGGTCGAATGCACGCGTCATGCTGGCGTGGCCCACCGCGCCAATTTTGCACCAATGCTCTAAAACATCGGCGCATGTCTTGGCATCTGGCGCCGGCTTCCTACGGAAATGATTTGTCGTTCTGAACACGGCGTATGTGGCAAGTGCTGACAAACTGAGATCCTTATCACCAACTGTGCTAAGGCAAAGGAAGCTCTCAAGGCTCACGCCCTGGAGGCCGAGGTATCTGCAGCTTAGCCTCGCCACTAGTGGGCAACAGGCATAGTGTTCAATGCAGTCCCGCGCGCTATGGGAACAACCGAGGGTGCAGTGCCCAACCTGTTGGAATCGGCGCGCGGTGCACCATCCATTCCATTGCGCCCTCCACGCGGCAGCGTTGGCACGTGGCGGTACTAGACGACTCAGCCTCTGGAAAATGTTTGGCGCTCTGCGGGCGAGACGGTCAAATGGAACTGAAAGCGACCATCTGGCCAGCTTGTGGCGAAAACGGGCTTCGATGCGGTTAGGGCAAGCCTGAAGCGCACGAATCGAATCATAAAAGGCACGCTGGTTATCAGAAACCCAGAGACCCGTCGAGCTCGCGCGGCGCGTGGCCGAGCCTACTACAGAAGCAAAGTGGGACGCATACCATTCAGACCACTCAGCCGCACGCGCAGGGAACTGCGTGCCCAAGCGCGCCCAGAGTAACTGCTCAGACATCGCACTGTGATCCTGTATGATCGTATTTGCCACGCGGAACTTTGCGGCCCACGCGCAATCCGAAAGGCAACGGAATTCGACAGGGAACGATATCAACGACTGAAGACTATATAAATCGGCTGCTGTGCGCCACCCGCCCGGACCAGCAGAGAGCTGCGAGAGTGCAATGGCCTCTGCTGCCGCAACCTCTGGTGGCATGTCACAAAGCTGCCATAAATGTGACAATGCCGGAGCTGCAAAAATGTTATATACCCTCGCGTTCAGCTGCAGTCCGAGCCCGAGCTCAGACCACGAGCGAACACGGGACGAGTACTTGGAGACTGCTTGGGCCCATTCGGCCGCGCACCGGGCTGGGCCAACTTTGAATCCCAAGTAAGAGGCATGCAGCGCAAAGTCCGCTCCCGCCCACTCGGGCAGCATGTCGCGAACCGCGCGGCGAAATCGATGCCCTGAGGTCTCCCAGAGGTGAACGACAACGGTCTTCGCCATATTGAGGCGCAGGCCCGAAAATGTTTCGAATGCCTCGTATACGCGAAGGAGAACACCCGCCTCGCGCCAGAAATTTCGCAACACTACTGCGTCATCATCTGCATAAGCACGCACGGTACTTCGCGGAGACTGCTGGCAAATCCGATGTAGCAGCATATCTGTGGCTAGCACAAAAATCAAAAGGTGAAAGCGGGCACCCCTGACGTACGCCGCTGGTCATGGTGAAGCCTTCAAACACTTGCCCTTTCAATTTAGTCCCGCACGTGTTGTCCGTATACAGGCATCGGACAACATTGCATATGAAAGGAGGGATGTCTATGGCTTCCAGGGCAGCCAGCATAGAATCCTGAGATATGCTGGGAGACGCGGCCTCGAAATCAAATAAGATGAGGGCCGCATTATTTCCTTCGAGGCTGGCCAACATACTTGCGTGATCAATCTCGCACGCATTTCTGAGAAGGGAACGGCCTCTCAAGAAGCCACGCTGCATGGGAGACACGACTGCGTCAACGAGAGGCTCCAATAAGTTCCGGTACGAACTTGCTAGAAGCCTGTTGTCTGTATTCATAAGAGACAGTGGTCTCGTCTTGGCAGCTGTGTAAAACTCGCCGAAGGCAGGGTCTTGTACATGGACGTGCCGATAAACATAGGACCCGACCGTGGACCCGTTTTTGGCGCTCGGGTACGTTGTTTGGCAATCCTCAAGAGCGTCTTGACGAAGAGAAGCGTGGACGAAGCATCCATTGATTTTGACTCCCGCATGGGGGTGCTCATGGTGAATGACACGCGCGTTGGCGAATTGAAGGGGGAGGGCGTGCTTGTACGCATCGAGATCAACCGCCAGAACGTGGACAACATGGGCTGGCAATTCAACGGGAAGGACTTGCAGCTGGATGTCGACCGGGCGTTGCGCGAGTGACTCTCCTTTCGGTCCAGCGCTCTCGGTGCTCTCTCTCGTTTCCCTGCTCCCTCCCCGCCTCCTCGCCCCTCTCGCCGCTCCACTTCTGCGCTTCCTTTTGCTGGTGTTTTCTCGGGGTGCTCCTGGAACGCCCAAGCTTTTTTCTCAAGCGAGCTAAGTCAGCACCGTCGCAGACATAAGTTTGTACAACTATTGACCCAAAAAGTTGATTTTGTGGGATTGCAAGAGGTGCATGGCACCGCTGGCCGTGAGCTCGCGTTTGACGCGTTCCCCGGCACTCGCGCTTACTGGTCCCGTTTGAGCCGGTCTCAGGCGGGTATTGCCATTTTCGTAACTGATAGATTTTGGCCCAGTTTGATTCGCATGCGTTTCAAATAGTAGAGGACGGCCGGGCCGCTGTCCTACGTCTTCGCGGCCGTCTTGGCGGTTTGGACGTGTGGACTGTTTATCTGGACGCCCACTCGCCAAAAGCACGCGCCGATTGTTTAAAGCAGATTACTGCCCATTTTTCGGACCCCCGGAAAGTCACGTCTGTGCTCTCTGGTGATTTTAACTTCACAAATAGTAAGCACGACCGCTGGCAAAAACAATATGGGCAGTGGTCTGGGCACGCGAATCGCATCGAGTCAGCCGCATTTTAGACTCACCTGCGCAGCATTTTTTGCTTGGAGGAATGGCTGCAAGAACGTCTGACTTGTGATAGTGGCACGGCTTTGTCTCTCATAGACCGCGTGTATTGTAATTAGCATAAATGCGAGGTGCTAGATCGGCATATCGAGTGCTCTGTGCTTCCCTCCCCCTGTCGCCTGTCCGCTCATAAGCCGTTGCCTTTTGCCAGGCGTAGTGGGGCTCCGTCCTCTGAGAGGGGCACGGAGAGACCACTCCTGACCTCTGTTGTTGACCACCCTGATTTTGATAGGCTCGTGCGGCAGGTATTCCGAAGAGAAGCAAGTCTCAATCCGCATGCACCAGCGCTTGATAAGCTCTGTATTGTCAAATTGGCCATGCGCCGCGCATGCAAAACCATAGGACGGTCTAGTGTACCCCATGTGGCTGCTGGTGCGGAGGACAAGCTTCATGCTTCTATGGGCCTCCTCCGGTGCCTCGAGAAAGGGAGTGCTGACCGCGTGCATCACTTTTTGTCTCTCTATCCGCATCTGTGCTCCCTCGTTGGTTCCCCTCCTTTGCCCGCCCCAGCACTGCGCGACCACTGCGTGGAGCTGGCGAGGCAGGAAGTTGTTGAGAAAGTGGACGCCCTCAAGGGCCAGCGGGAACAACTGCCTGATTTTGAAGTCGCCTCTCGCAAAGAGCACATTCTGCGTAAACTGCAAAAGCTCATCCCTGGTGAGTGCCCCGCTCTTTCTGTCCTCGCGTCCCCTGGCAATGAGGATTTTGCGACGCAACCGAGTGACATAGCGTCCTTGTTGAAGCAGCACTGGGGCGGAGCGTTCTGCCGGCGCCCCGTTGATTTGTCCAATATGCGGAAATGGGACGTCCACAGTTTCGCTTCCTTCCCACAGGCAGGGTTGCCTGCGGAGCATCCTAAGTGGCAATTGCGTTTATCACACGTTGTCGAGGCTATTCGGACCTCGGGCGATTCTTCCCCTGGCCCCGACGGCATCCCGCACTGGGCGTGGAGAAAACTAGAAGATTTTAACGCCCCGATTTTGTGCGACGCAGCTCTCTCGATGCAGGAGGGCTCCACGATCGATGAGTTGCCGCCCGGATTGAATCACAGCTATTTATGTTGCCTTCCGAAAAAGCCATGTATGTTGCCTTCCGAAAAAGCCAGCAGGAACCCACCCTGCGGCGGAGCTGTTTTTTTTTCGGGTTGAGAGTTTTGTTTTTTCGGTTTTCGGCTCTAACCCGAAAAAAAACCCGGCCTCCACCCGAAACAAAACCCTCCGCGTTTTTTTTTTCGGGTTGGCCGTTTTTTTTTTCGAGTTGGGGGGGTATTTTTTCGGGTTCGGTTTTTCTGCGGGTTGCGAGGGTATTTTCTCGGGTTGGGTTGCTCGAGTTGGGTATTCGAATCTTCGGGCTTCCGAATGTTCACGCATTCGGGCTTCCGGGTGCTGGGACCTTCCGGGTCCAGGGTTTCCGGCTTGTCCTGCTTTCGGCCCTCGGGCACTTTGGTGCGGTTACCTGGACTTCGAGTGTTCGGGTTTCTGCGGGTTCTGAGGTTCATTTCTCGGGTTCGGTGGCTCGA